CAGACCTTGTTTTGGGTTTAAACAGTCGGGTTTCAAACAAGTGTTAGGGTGTCAAGGCTGGAAGAAGATGTCCACGCAGGGTTGGCCTTTCAAGCCCGGGTTGCTTTTGGAAGTTCGTGTCCCAGACTAGCTTTGGGAGCCCGAGGTAGGGCGCAAACATCGGGTCGCAAAGCTGGGTTTCATATTTCAAGGCTGGCTTAGGCTTCCGTATTTTTTGGATTCTGATTCTGCTCTCGGGAACAGCCCGGGGCCACGCCGCCATCCTTTCCAAAGTGAAAGTGAAAGTCAATCAGCGGGCTCCCAAAGCGCTTTCTTGCCTCCGTCTTCCCCTCCCGGCGTCGCGCGCCGCTGTCTTTTCCTCTCCGGAGGCGTTTACGAGACGGCGGCGAATGCAAAAATATTGGCTAATGTGCTTTATGCAAAACAGGCCTTGCGCCCGGCGCGTTTTCATCTTTGCGAGTCGCCCCGTGGAGTCTGCCGGCGGAATACCTTTGTCTCATCATCTCGTCTCATCCCCCCCCCCCCCCCAAAAATCCCGTCCTGTGACAATGCATATGCAAAATTCGCTAACATAGCTTATACAGCATTATTATTACGGAAAGCCTAATGTGCTGGCAAAAAATTCGCATTCGAAATCAGCGCAAAAAAACTAGAGTTTTGCATCTTTGATTTTTTTTTTTTTTAATGTGTTGGCCGGTGTCATTTCTCCTTTGAGGTTGGGCGCACGCTCGTTCGTCCCTCACATCGTCTTTCCCCAGTAGAGCGATGCAAAATCTCATTCGTCTGTTCCACCTCTGCAAAAAACACAACATTCGCCAACACGTTTTTCTTGACCAAAATAGCACCCAATAGTGTTGGTTGTTTTTAAAAATGAAAACATTGAAAATAAATGCCAAACTTTTAATTGTAAATATATTATGCCTTTTTTTTTTCTTTTTTTTTTTTTTTTTTAAATAAAAGTCATATGGATTTTTTTTTTTGCAGCCATTACCAACTCCGATATTTGGCCCAATACAATTCTAATAAAAAAACTGACCAATTTATTTAAAATGCAACGGCCTGTATTATTGAATCACATAACTCCTTTGGTGCTTATACCAAAACGCTTGCCTTTTTTTTTTCTTTTTCTTACCGACTAGTTCTTAAATATTTGTGAACTTGAGAGGAAAAACAGATTTGGGGTGGGAATGTTTGTTTGCATGTCATTCTCTTGGCCAATTTTTGCAGATTTTAAATATCGACCCATTAAATCTGCCAGCCGATTAATTAGTCTGCGCTCATGTAGAGTGCAACTTTCCCGATTTAAAAACAAAAAAATCACACACACATAACAACGACCCCTGCGCTCCCCAGGCAAGGCAGCACTTGATTTGCTTCATTCCATTTGTGCTGAATTGTAAGCTCCGTGTAACGTCGTGGAAGGCGAAACGTGTTTTTGTGCAATCGAAAGGCCTCGTGCGCCTGCGTGGATGAGGAGACGACGAGGCGTTCATCATGCGGCGTGCGCAGCCTACCCCGAGTACACACTTCGACGTTGACGTGATCCTCATGTCAATTCACCGAGGCGCTACGTGTTGCCATGCCACTTGTTATGTGCGGCGCTACGGACGCCCCGCGAGCCACCTTGAACCCCGCTCACCCCTCGCCATCGTCTCATTGCCAATCGCGCGCGATGCCCGACCACCCCGACACCCTCAGCGATGCATCTTTTTTATTCCGGGAAGTGGGGGTGGGGGGGTGGCGGTGTCTACACAAGCTGAAGGTCCACTTGCTGTCATTTAATACACTTTATGGCTCTTCCTCAGTTGTCATGGCGACACCTTTTGTGTCTGGCGATTCACGCATCGCATTTTTCATAAGCTGGGGCCTGCCGTCGCCGTGACGATTGAGCCGCCGGCAAACAAGCGTGCGGCGAGGGCCGTTTGGATCGCGTGGCGGAGTCTGGTCGACCCCCGCTTGATTGCCGCCTCTCGCTAATTAAAAATAGACGCGGGGTGTATTTTTAGAGTCGTCGGAAAGGCTGCTCGCGCTCGTCGAGTGTGATTGCCGCTCCGACTTTTTCAACGCTTGACGACCGCAAAATGTGCGCTCCTGTTCGATGCGACAGTTGCGACAGTTGTAAGGCCAGGCCTGTTGCTCGAGGACAGCGGGGCCCAACACGCCGATCGCCATTTATTTTACTCGATGTACGTCCCTTTTTTTAAATTTATGCAGCTCTGGTTGTTTTGAAAAGTGCTCTAAAAATGAAGTCACCTCGATGAAACAGTCGCCAACCAAATCTTTCCTGCTCGTTGACTTCCCAGCATGTCGTTAGGTGCACTTTGGTCTCAACTCCAACACAATAGCCTTCCGGGGTCCGGGAGATCCGTTTTTTTTTTTAGCCTTTTGCGATATTTTTAGAAGCTTTTGAGGCGATAAAACACTTCTCCAACTCTCTGCTGATGACGGCGATGAGTCACAATCACACCTGCAGGCGCGCAAGTCGACACATCGACAGCGCCTGAAGAGCCATCACCTTTATTTTGCTTATCTCGATTTATTTAGCATGAATTGGTTAGCAACGGGGAGGTGAACCACTCACGGTGAGCGAATGCCGTCATTTCGCCGAATGGCAACGGTCACGCATCCTATTACCAGTCAATCTCATCGTGTTCGACTTTGACAAAATCCCATCGCAGCGTAATTGGACCGAATGGCGTCGTCATTCCGATCCGCTCGTATCGCAACTTAACTTGACGGCGCGTGTCAACTGTGGTGAAGTGAGTTGAGGAGCTTCATTTCAGGCAACGCTCGGCAACTTAAAGCAGGGTTGGCGATGACTCGAAATGTGGTCGGGATTGACAATTTGGCATTTTTTACGATCAGGAATGAAAACCCTCCTCCCCGAGCGTGCGACGCTAAAGTCGAGATGAAATCCTCTTGAGATTCTAATTGAGAATTAGCATCAGGGTCCAGGAAGCAGGAACAGCTGGGTTTTTTTTTTTTTTTAATGCTATTATTTTAATATCTTGTCATTTTGCTTTAGGAGTCTTTTATTTCCTGCAGGAAATTGCAAGGCAAAAAAAAAGAAAAAAAAAAGCAAACTATGTCACCTGTAGAGCAAAGAAACGTCACTTGAAACCAATTATTTCGGACGCGGTACTCTCAAAGCCAAAATCTGAATAATGATGGGCGGATGAAAATAGGATGGACTGGCAACGCATGTAATTCTTGATCAGTATGCAAATGTGTGAATCATTTCCCCCGCCGCGCTGGGAAGCAAGCGCTGTGTCAAGCGCGGACCCTCCTTTCGATTAGTCTCTCCGCACAAGGACCGCCCCGCCCCCCCACCCCTCCTCCGAGGTCAACGGCAAATTGTTGTGGCGAGTGCGCGCGTCTGGCTCGCCAGCAAATTCCAAAACAACTCACTTTTTGCGATCCATCCAAAATCGTCTCTGGTCAGAAGCAAAACAAACAACACTTCCTGTTTTTTTTCTTTCTTTTTTTTTTTTTGGAGTGAGCGGAACGTGTCATCCCTCGCTCATGCGAAGCCGCTGCAAAACATGCGAGAAAATTGCTGGCTCGTTGGAGCAAATTAACACTCTGCCACTTGTTTCTTCAGACCGCATGGTGCCCACTGAAGTGTGACCAGTATTGTGTATTTACTTCTCAGGAATAAGGAAGCACATTTGATTTGAGAGGAGACTAAGGGCCACGGCCTGGAAATGCATCAGCACATAATCAGAGTCTGCTAGACATTAAAAAAAAAAAAATCAATCTCCTGGTTTGACATGTCTGCTCTTTTTGGAAACACATTTTATCCAAGAGGAGACTGAGGGCCCTCGACTGGACCGTGACAAAATTGTGTGTGAAACGGGAAGACACATTTCACCCACAGAGAGACTGAGGGCCATGTCATGGAAGTCAGTTAACACATAATCGGGCCCCTAACGAATGTTTCTCCTGTTTTGACTTTTCTGCATTCTTGGCCACAAATTTTAATCCAAGAGGAGACTGAGGGCACTTAGATGACACAGTTCAGCAATTATTTCTTGAGATTGAAATTCAGATTTGAAATTAAAAGTGCACGACCTAAAAATATCGAGCGCCGCCTGCATTTACCTCTCGGGGGATCGGATTTGATCCAAAGGGACACTGAGGACCCTGACCTGGAAGCGTATTGGCGCAGCCCACTTTCTGCTGACTTTTAGCCCGAGGGTCAAAACTGCCACCCCCAATCAGGAAAAGGTTGCTGAGGAGGCGCGTCCCGCTCGATAAACGCGCAATGGAAGACTCGACTCTGATGTGCTTGTTTCTGCAATCACACAAAACCCGCCGCCGCCGCCTCCTCCCAAGTTCTCGCTGTGTTTTTCATTCTCTCTTGTAATTAGCTCCAGCACTGCAATGCAGAAGGCTCCCAGATTGACCGATGAATCAGAAGTCTTTTTGTTCCCCCCCCCCATGACTTTCATCCAACCCGCTTCCCCCGGTCGCCACTTGAGATGACTTCTCTGTATTTTCTCCAGGAAGCATTTAACCTGCAAAACTTTTACTTGTACCTATTAATTATGCACTCCATCTCGCCCTGGCATGTTCTTTTGTTCCATTAAGGCTCCGAATGAATGAATCAAGCACGTTGGGTGGTGGAGTTAAAAAGAAAAAAAAAAACAGTAGAAACCAAATCATGTCGTTGTCTAAGCACAAAAAAAAAAAAGCAACCAAAAAAAATTACAATGTTCCACTGAACTGGTTGCATGTAACCAAAAACCAACAATGGCCGATGACTTTTGAGGTGATCCTTCGTTTGTGAGCAAAACGACATCCAAAACCGCAATGATATACTGAAAAAAGAAAAACCAACCCAAGCGATTTTTGTCCAAACTTTGCACAAGCACGATTCCCCCCCGCCCAACATTCAAAGCCAATACGGCTTTCGTTTGTGTGCTTTTAACGAGACGAAAAGCAAGGTTTGATTTGTGTTTGCGTGTGATAACCGTCAATGTTGCTTTTCTTCCTTCCAGCCACGCTGGGAACGCTGGACTTCAGCTTGCTGTACGACCAGGAGAACAATGCTCTGCACTGCACCATTAACAAAGCCAAGGTGAGCATTATTGCCGTCTCATAGACAATGGAACCAACTTCCATTCTTTAGTCGATTGGAATTTTGAAGGAAAGAAAAAAAAACAAAAGAAAAGATATCCAGGTGGTGTCAGTGCCATTCTAGTAACCTTTCAGTCACATACAGGAAGTAAATCTGCCGTATTGTTTTGAAGTGAGCATTTCAGGATGTGTTTGGATGTCGTCAGGTCGCTAAGCCCCCTGCAATTAAAAAAAAAAAAAAAAAAAAAAATTCACCCCAAAGCCGCTTGCATTTAGTGTCACGTCTGGGCCGGATTACTTTCACGCGCTTTATATTGGAGTCAGCCACCAATCCTCCATGAAGCATCTCCAGTTGGTCCAAAATAGCGCCGCTCGCCTCTTGACTGGTACTCAAAAGAGGGAGCGCCTCACTCCTACTGGCCGTTGCCTGGTGGGTAGCCCCGTCATTTTGGGGGCCTGTTTCAAATGGCGATCTGAGGTTTGGTAGGCCTGTCAATCAAAAAGGAGAGCCCACAAAAAGTCCTCAAAAGCGCAGGCGGTCTTGCCGCTATTGGGTTGAACTGGACATCACCACGTCAGCAACGCTCCCCCAAAACGTACTCGGAATTCAGCCTCAACACCCGTTTCACTTAGATTTGCTCGTTTTTTTCTATCCATAGCAGACCTCCCAAAAATTCTCAATTCGCCACGCCCTAATGATGGGAGGAAGTTTGATATTTGTTTTGATCCTCGTGTCGGGTAATTTTATTCCAGCCGTGATTCCAAAGGCCGCAAAAGCAGAAATGTCAGATGTTAGCAATTGAATTGGTTCGACAACGTTTGGTCAAAATTGGTTCGGGTCGTGTGACTCCACTCCAACTGTCCGCCGCTTTGTAAGAAAATAAATCGAGAAAATCGGGCGGCCTTCGTTCCTTCCTTCAGCCTTTCGAGTAACCTTTAACACAGGCGTCGTTTTGGGTACAGCGCTAAATTTGAAAGATCAATTGGCCATTGAAAATGGTAATTTCACGGCGGTGACAGACTGCTGACATTTTCCCTCGACTGATGCATAAACAGCAGCGAACGAGACGGCGAATCAAAGCCAAATTTGCATAACGCGCCTGACACGCTCTCAATATGTTGCCCGCGTCAATATTAATCCCACGCCGCGTGGATTTTTCGGGTCTGGTCCTATGCGTCATCACTGAACAGCGCCTTCACACGTGCTGCCGTGGGAAAGACGACCGTGTTTCTTTGAACCGCAGCGGGCACAAATTATTTCTCAAAGCATATTACTCCAGACAGATTTAGAAACATAAGCGCTGGATTTTAAAAAAAAAAAAAGGAAATAATGGCAGGCCGAGCAGAAGGCAGGAACAAAAGCGCAAATGCAGCGGACAGACTTTCTGTCTTTTTGACAGGGGGTTGTTGAGATTTTTTTTTTTTTTTTTTTTTGTGGGCTCCAGTCATCACATACCAGTCCAAGAAATGTCATGTTTCGAAGGGAAGCGATTCTTTGCCGCCGTGCTGCACTCACACGGCTGATAAAAAAACTTCACAACTAAGCGTAAAATCTGGTTCAATTTTGAAAGACCCCCGAAAGTGGCCAAAATCCTGCTTCAAATAATTGATTTAATCCAAAATGCCAGACTTTTTGTGTCTTTTCGGGGGAGGTCTACTCATGATAGACATGCCAACCAATCTCCCCTCGCCCCAAAAAAAAAAAAAATGTGATGGCCCCGATTGACCAGGCAGGTCGCCAAAAGGAACCTTCGATGGCAGCTTGAATCCAAAATGCCAGACTTGCCACGACTTTCCGGCCGTGACTTACGAAGACATTTTTTGTGGGTCTCCTGATAATAGGCCCACCCGATTTCCTGTAATAAAGTGAAAGCTTGCACTGGCCCAAAATTCCCTGAAGTTGGCGGCCCTTAACCAAAATGGTGGACGTCTCGCGTTGTTTTTTTTTTTTTTTTTTTTTTTTCAAGAATAAGTTCTTGAGTCTTTCTTGTGGGTTAACTCATCAAAATTCGGCCACCCAATTTCATGTTGCCAAGTGAAACGGCCCAATGTGCCCCCCCCCCAAAAAAAAAAAAATAATGCCCATGGCTTTGGCCCTTATTGGCAAGCTTTACATTGAATGCCAACAGAGGGGGAGCCCCTCTCCCCCACCCCCCTCCTTTATTTCTTCATTGAGCAGCTTTCATCTGTTTCACTTTGAGGCGTGAAACCGCAGCCTTTGCCGACGACGACGGCATTAATCTCACCTGACAGGATTAAGAGCGCCGTCTGCAAGCGACTCCCTGTCGTATCACCAGAGAAATAAAATGGCACGGCAACCTTGACGATCTGCAGATGCCCGATAGCCTCTTTGCACAAAAGAAATACACGACGTTGCCGCACGAGTTTTCCACGCGTCACTTCCTATCCCCAACCAATCGCTGGTCGCGCCACTGCAAAGATAAACAACCGAACCCCCCCCCCCCAACCAAAAACCGAATTATTTAAATTCATAGAAGCTGCCGTTGAAGCGTTAACTTGCGAGAAGCTGCGAAACCGTACTTGGCTCCGCCTCTTAAAGGCACATTCGTGTACACCGAGACTACAATACGTGCTCACCATTTTATGCTTTTTGTGTTCAAAAAGGTTTACTGGGTGTTTGCGAAGTGTGTTTTAATACAAGATTTGAATCACTAGTTCGATTTTGAAGTTTGTCCCCCCCCCTACAAAACATCTGCACTTTTACGTAAGTATGCAGGGTGAATACTTTTGCCGCCTCTGTCCAAAGGCAGTTTTTGCTTCCATTTCTGCAGCCCTATCACTCTCTCCTGTGAGTCATTCCAGGCTTTTAGCCTCGCTGCTGCCAAGTGGGCAGAAGGACCCGGTGATTTATTGCATCTATTTTCCAGAGGCTTTGGTTTTTTTAGCCGCCGTCAAAAAAAAAAACAAGGACCCCGGCCTGACTTAAGGGCACGGCTCAATCTGTGCGTTCAAGTCAGGCCGTATAGCGTCATCAGTCTTGCAGAGCAATCAGCAGGTCTTTTCCGTGCTAATGCGCCAAAGACACAAAATGTTACCTCCGCAACTCGCCTTGATTAAAGCAATTACCACCCCTGCCTTCCCCGCCGTCTTTTCATTCTCAGACAAATGAGGTTATTTCCACTCCCCCGTCTGCCTTTGTGTGCGCAAAGGAGCAAAAAATGTCTCGTACCTTGGTCACACACACACACACACACACACACACACACACACACACACACACACACACACACACACACATCCCACCACCCCCGCTCGGCTCCCTTGCTCTGTTCTTGTTGCGCTAATTAAATCAGGGCCAAATTGAGGTGGGTTGTTTGGTCAGGCGGCTTTTCCAGGAAGTAGAAAACAAGGCTGCTTTCACTCCGGTCCACATTAAATCCGAGTTTGTTGGTGGAGTTAAAGTATCTTAGTCTGCCCACAGGAAAACACGTCTGTGTCTGTGTCGCGTCCGAGCTTCAAGTTTGCTTGCCGCCCGAATGAAATCAGGAAGCAGAACAGCTCGTTTTTGAAGGACTCTTGAACACGACCGCAAAGTGCCCGCTTGGAACCAAGATGGCAGACTTCCTATTTTTTTCGTGGTATGCGTGGGTTGGTGAGACTTTTTGGTGGCGCGACTTATGAGAGACGGACTTGCCAAATGTCACTCAGGCTCTTTCGTGAAACTGGATTTTCAAAAACGTCCGAGGGGTGCGACCAACTCGGCAATGTGTCAAACCAAAATGGATGACTTACAGGGTTTTTGTGGGTCTCCTCACGATAGACGACGACCAAAATTTCATGCTCCTAAAAGAAACTGACTTTAGGGACCGAATAGCGTTTGAAGTGTGCGTTTTATGCTGAGAACCAGCCGAGAATGTCTGCTTGAAAGCAAAACGTCTGACTTCCTGTGCGCTTTGGGTGGCTACTTTTCGCAAGAACTAAGAAGGGTCTCTTGGCTTGATTGAGTGAGTCAGACCCCGTGTCAGCGTTGAATAGAAGGCCCGAGACGTGTTAATTCCTCGGCGCCTACACTACAACCAACCTTGACACGCCGGCTGCCATCTTTTCATGGGGAGCCTTCCTCTTCTGCTTTGCCTTTTGCTTTCCCCGCACACCAACGTTTACGCTCGCTAGAGAACACAAAGCTTTTTTTTAAAAAAAACATGGACAGTGTTCCGGCGCTGTTTCTTTCCTTTGGCTTTTCAGGCGAGTCTGAATTTGAAGTGATCTGTGACCATTCAAGTCGCAACCCCCATGCTAATTTGCATTAGCCCGTCTGTGGTGCTGCAGCTTAGATGTTAGCATCGATCTGTTTTTTTTTTTGTTTTTTTTTTTCTCGTGGCAAGGTGTGAGGGCGTGTTGGTTTGGCAAAAGATGTGATTGCGGTGCGTTGGGGTGGGTGCAATCAGTTTTGGGGAGAAATCAAACCTTAAAAATGACCAAAATGGAGTTAGCCCACTGTCGTTCTCAGTGGCTCAATTGTGAGAGTGCGATTGCTCGGTAGCTGAAGTTGACAACCGGAGTTTGCGATTGTTTTGTTATTTCCAGCAAGGTTTCGGCATCATCTGTTGACGGGCGAAGATCAGAGAGGGCAGCTGTGATCGGTTCTGAAGCGTGATCATTTGGAAGGCGAATCGTTTGCTCGGCGGCGCGACGCTTTGTGGTTTGCGGCGTATAACAACACTTGCGTTTGTCCTCGCTCGCATCAAAACCTCGACCTTGTGCGACGCCGCCACCAATAGCAACGGAGAATGTTGTGGAGCGACAAACGAGCGATGCCGTGTAACCGTGGTAACGGCAGACTGAAAGGTCCGCCGGTGTCTGTCACGGATAAAGTGAAACGCCAACTGGGTCGCGTGCTGACTCCAATATACCAAAGCGGCGGTAAATGTGCATTGCGGTCAAATAAAACAAAAGAAAAAAGAAAAAAAAAACAAATTGTGTCTAGATTTGATAGTCATTCCTGTGTGGCATCTCCACGACGCAACCGTCGGGCATCTTCAGTAATTCGGCAAGTAATTCGACCCAAGTTATGTCATTCGGTGGTTAACGATGCATGCATGCGCGAAGCTAATTATGCTAACAAATTTATTGCATGTACAATTAATGAAGGGTTGTTTTTCTTTTTTTTTTTTCTTTATTTTGGGGGATGGTGACATTTTTCCCTTCAAACTTAACATGAGTTGCTTTTCGAAAGAACTTCAGAGGTTCCAAGGCACTTTTATTTGCTCTAACTTTTGTGTATGACACTGTCACGTTTCTGTTTTTCAGTCTCATCACTCTTTTGTCTTTTCTTCCCCAACTCACTCTTTTTTTTTGTTTTTTGCATGCTTTCATGTCCACGTGTTACTCCATTCCACACACACACACACACACACACACACACACACACACACACACACACACACACACACACACACACAACAGCTTCCCGTTCCCCGATACAAGAAGGTAAGCCCGTCAGATAAGCTCCAATCCTTGACTGAATCGTTCTGTCTTATCCGCGCAAGCATCCACGGCCACCGGCCGGACCCTGATTGACAGCCCACCCGCGGCCCCCTCCCCCATCCCCTCTGACTTCCCTCTCATTGTGATTCCGCACCTGAACGTCCTGAGCCCGAACCCGCTCGACGGTCCCTCCCGTTCTGCTCATCTCAACCCTGTTTGTGTCGTTCGGGTCAATTTCACCCCCAATTTCACCCCCAGTGATGTTGCCCCTCAAATTGACATGCTTAAAATCCACAAAAATATTTGTTGAATGCCCACTTGTTTTTTTTTTTGTTTGTTTGGTTTTTTTTTTTCGTCGTTGCACACGTTTTTCACACTTTGCCCTTCGTCCCATAATGCAGATATTTTTTGGGGGGAAATACTAAACGAGTCACGTTGTATCAAACAAACAAACACAAAATAGGGAACAAATTGCAAGAGATCCATTTAAAATCTTCAACAGGTGATTTTCGTTTTTTGTGGCAGGGGTTTTTTTCCCCCCCCCCCCCCCCGCCGATAAAATGAAAACTTCAAACCCATAAAAACGATCACTTCAAACTGCGACAGAGTACAAACGCCTGAACGCTTACTCATGCTAAGGACCCTTTGGCAGGCTGCGTCCGGCTCTGACACTCCCCTGCCTCAGCCGCGTGCGCCGCTTTGTTTTCCCGCCACCATAAATGACTTTCCATCAACACAGCCCGTCCCCATGCGACCCCGAGCCCAAACTCCTCTGCTCTGCTCTCCTCCCCTCGGCCACGGCGTCATCAACGCCGACGCTCGCCAGTGATCAGTTGGACCCATCTGCCCGGCTCGCCACATTACCCGCCGCCATTACTCAGCGCTGGCGTCAAAGACCCCAGGTGCTTCCCCCCCCCAACAAAATCAACTCCTTTAGCGTTAACCTCACGCCCTGGGTGAAATCCATCTTCCACTGAGGTGGCAAGTCACCAAGTCAAAATACTTTGTTGCTGTACTTAAATCTGTCACCTGAAAATAAATAACACCTGTTTCAAAAAAAAAAATCTGCAACTAGACGAAATGAGGCTTCAAAAATGTGAGAATGTCAAGCTGTTCCCTCCGTGACACGCATGCACTCACAGGTGACAACGAGGCACTCTAAAGCAGCCACGGCAGCCTGATGTCCCAGTCGCTAATCACAAACTGGCTCTCGGGCCAGACTTGTTTTAAAAGAAAAGAAAAGAAATCCCCCCCCCTTTCCTCACTCTTCCATCTTTCTCCACGTGACCTGCGCACACTCAATGCCAACAATAAGGCACTCTGAAGCAGCCATGCCAGCAGATTATCCCGAAAAATCCACTATTGGTCCCCAATTTAAGACAGTTGTTGCATTTGTCGGCTACAAGAATGACTCTTGGCGAACGTGTTGTGCCATTCTGGAAAGTACCAACTTCGCTCTAAAATTCTGTCTGATTTTAAAAAAGAAAAAAAAAACCCCAGCAAATACAAGTAAGGACTTGCATATTTATTTTGTTCGTTGACAATGTTAGCCAAGCTTTGGGAACATATTGCCAGAGTCTTAAGGAACAAGCTAATCCTCGCTAGGTCCTGTTAAAAAAAATAAAAATAAATAATAGCCGACAGCCACTTAGGAAGATGAATAGATTCCACAAGATGGCAGCAGAGCACTTATTTATTTAATTAGACGAGTGAAATTCGAAATGAAGCTCCTCTTGTCGCTTCTTTTTGGCACGAGCGTCTGCACTTGTACTCAAGACGAGCGTGTGAGTATTTTAGCACCTCTGATGGTCCTGTCGCAGCCTTCCTCTTATTTTACGTGATTGATGGCTCGTCCGCCTTGGCGTCCCCAGCCCGGTCAGATATGATAATCAAGACGTATGCCGGGCTGACAAGGAGGCCGATTGCCACGCGGGAAATGAGAGTGTGTCTTGTTTGTTTCTGTGTGTGTGTGTGTGTGTGTGTGTGTGTGTGTGTGTGTGTGTGTGTGTGTGTGTGTGTGTGTGTGTGTGTGTGCGCGCGCGGTTTGAGCATGATGAATCACAAATGACTGCTGAGGTTCTGAGAGGGAAGACCTCCGCCAAGGTTAAACGGCTTAAACATTTTTTTTTCTACATAAGGCTCACATAAAAAAAAAAAAATTAAAAAAAAAGGAAAAACTGAGAGGGCATTTTTTTGGGCGTAGGGGGTGAGAGGGAAAAAAAAAAACATCTTCCAAAAATCTTCCTTCAAGCTATTAAATGCCACTCCGAGTTGAATTTCACTGTCAAACTAAACATCAAACTAAGTGTTTCAATGCCACTTTGTGTCTTCAAAACGTCACATCGCTTTGACTTGGCAATGTCAGTTGAGCGGAATGCTAACTCATGCTGGGAATCTTTGTGGCGGTGATTTGAAATGTGAGTTTTGAGTGACGAGTGTGGTCAACTTCAACTTCCATCTCAAGGCACCGCCAGATATGGAATCTCGTGACCCAGCCAGTTGTTTTAGCTCAAACTCCTCTTGGTGAAAAAACAAATCGGATCCACGCCAAAGCTCTTGAAAACAAATATGATCACTTTTCGCCCCCAAATGTTTCCCCCTATTTCCATGTCAGGTGCTGTCATTTTACGTGTTGGCCGACCAACTGTTAGCATTGGATCAATTGAATCCACGTGTAGTCGCGTACTCTCACCGAACCTGTTGGGAAATAAAAGCGACTTATTAGCTATAAGCGCCAGCAGATGTTTCTTCCTCTTGCTGGCGGCCGTTTGGCGACATTGTGATGCATGTCGCCCATCTGCCTTTTCGCCCCAGTCGTCTGTCTCTAATGAATCCATAATTACGATCAATGGAGTGTCCAAAACCCCGTGCCGCTGCAGCTGTCCCTTCGACACTCACGCACTCTACTTAGGACTCTAGATACTAAAAAAAAAAAAAAATGTACTCAAGTCAAAATAGTTTTAGGGTTGCTCGACTTTTATATTTGATGGTGAGTCATTGAAATTCACCGTCAGTCTCCTCATGAAAGAGATTCCTTTATATATATATATATATATATATATATATATATATATTCACCCGGGAATGAGAGGAAATAAGGCGATGGACGAGACACGGCAGGGTCACGGCCGGCGAGGAGATTGGGCTTGTAAATTGACTAACGCTTCCCGGCCGCTCGCCGTTTGTCATTCAGCGCGGCGTGGCGGCACGGCGACAATGGAAAGACATTCAAATCAGGTTTCTTTTATTTACTTCCCGGCGGTCGCGATAATACGATGTCAGTCAAGTTGGCCATTAAAACCCTTCAGAAGAGATACCGCGGGACGTTGAGTGAATGCAGACGATGTTGATTTTTTTTTTTTTTTTTTTTTTGTCATTCACTTCCGTCAATTGGCCTCATGTCGCAAAATCACGAAAAGAAAAAAAAAAACTGTTGTGGATGAAGAAAAAAAAATCGCAGTTCAAAAGCATCGAAAATGCCATTTTCGGTCTCGCATTGATTGTAATGCGTTCTTGATGGGTAACATTTGTCCACCAGGTGGTGCTACTTTTTTTTTTTTTTTTGCTACACGTTACCTTGAAGATAACAGCTTCAGAACTTGTTAGTTTGTGATTGCCATTTTTTTGGGGCGACACACAAAACAAACGTTTCGTTCCCGTGCGACTCCCAAAAAACATTTCTGTGTTTTCATCGACTTTGCGCGGCGGCAGTTAGCTTCCCACGGTTCGTCGTCGCGAAGGCCTTTTCCCTCTTTTGTGGGGAAAAGTTCAACCGTATTCAGAACAATGTTAGCCGGGTGAGCACCGTCGAATATTGGCGCTGAGTTTGCGGCGTTGTTGGACGCTCCTCACGTCCTTCTGTTCACATCCGCTGCGAGTCGCCGGCGCCGCCGAGCGGCTTTCATCGCCGCCTCATTCGCACTCGGCGGGGGCGGCGGCCTTCCGCTCTTCTTTTCCGAGCTTTGAGCGTCTGTTTGGTGTCGGAAATAGATAAAGGTGTTGAAAAGTGATTCAATTTTTTTTTTTTTTTTTTTTTTAACTTATCGTGCCTAATTCAAACTGGCGCCGTACAACCGTGTGACGAAAACAAATGAGCTGCGTTAAAATGTTCTATCACACCAAAACTGAATTCAACCCTTTCTTTTTTGGATTGATAAGGATCTGCTTTTGTTTTTTTTTTTTTTTTGGGCAGGGGCTCAAGCCAATGGATCACAACGGGCTCTCGGACCCCTACGTCAAGCTGCACCTTTTACCGGGTGCCAGTAAGGTATGTTCTCACCGTGCCGACAGGCATCGTCCAAAAAAAACTTTTCCATAAAACATCACCGACTATTCGTGGCTAACAACGCGATGTGAGACGTTTGCGCTTTGGAAGAGCGCGCGAGACTCGTCGTACCCGTGAGGTCTGTCCCACTTGTCTGTCCGGCAGGCCAATAAACTTCGAACCAAGACTCTGCACAACACGCTCAACCCCGTCTGGAGCGAGACGCTGACCTACTATGGCATCACCGATGAAGATATGGTCCGAAAAACACTCAGGTACGCCTTGCTGGATTAAACTTCACTTGACACTGACGTTTGTTTTTTTTTTTTTTTTTTTTGTGGGTCCATTCATAACAGATGTGGGCGACCAAGTTTTATGTCGCTACGTGAAACTGCTTTCATGGTTGAGTTATTAGCGTTGGCTTCCTGAGCCCTTTTTTTGTTGTTTTTTTTTTTGTGGGTCCACTCATCATGAATGCGGCAACCAAAATATTAATCACAATAATTGTGGAGTTACTCTGTTTTGTATTTTTATTTATTTATTTATTTTAGATTGGTCCAAACTTCCAAAGGCGGTGGTCGTCATAGAAACCACTCGTAAAAAGCTTTCAAAAGAAATCCTCCCTCCGCTGCACATTACTGAGCACAATGCATCGGATTATGCAACCTACTCGCGGCGCTTGATAACACTTTGATAAAAATAAAAAGGGGGGAGCGCGGAGCGGACGGCGAAGTCGCGCTTTCGACTTTGCGCAACATCCCGCTCGCCTTTAGACCAAGTTAAAGCGGCCCCTTTCTTCACCACATTTTCTTCTCTTGCCTTTTTTCGTTGGCTTCTTTACAGCTGTCAGTCAAGCTCAAATGGATATTCCCAAAATGCAAATCCATTTTCATTGTTCCCATTCTGAAAGGGGAAAAAAAAAAAAAAAAGACTTTGCAGCTAATGAGATTCATTTCATCATTCCGAGGGCCGTTAATTATTTGCCGTCCTTACATTCAAAACGCTGAGTGGCCGTTTGAAGAGATTTGGGAGATTGCGGAGTCGCTCGTTAGTTGGAGAGAATTCCATCTCATTCTGATTCGACGTCGGCCTGCCGTCGGCGCCTTCTTTGTGATGCCAAATTGAAGATGTGCCGCAGAGTGCAAAGATCAACGTCAGATTGATAATTTGAAACACATTTAAAAAGATGATTTTTGAGCCCCCGCCCTCCAAATTTCCTGGATTTTGAAGCAAAAAGGTGGAAAACGCTGGGCACATTTTGTAAAAAAAAAAAAGTTTTACAAAATATTTTATTTCGTTTTTTAAAATGTCACCACACTGTTTATTTGAGTTCGGAATTTAAATCCCAGATGGAAAATTTCCCTTTTTTGGGAATGGAAAATGTCACATTTATTTGTCACTTCTGTGTTGAACTACATCGCAAAAAAAAAAAAATGGGGCAGGATGGGCTCGCCACGCTATGAGGTGAATCACAAAGCTCTTCACGTTTGCTTTTACTCGATGCGAGCTGTTGACAACGTGGCGTCGTGAATTTCTGATTCGTAAGAGCGCCGCCTTGTCGAGCGCCATCGCACGGCGCCTGCCCGTTGCTGATGAAGCCTTTTCACAAACAATCAGCGCTGAGCGAAGACCTCGCACATTTCCGCACGGCACATCATTTCTTGGGCTAAATTGAATTCGGCAGCACCCGTCCGTCCGTCCCAGCAGCACTTCTCTGGTGTGTGTGTGTGTGTGTGTGTCTCTCTCTGTCTCGTCATTTCATGGTAATGATGTGAAAGATAGGACGCAAAATTGAACACGTGGCCAAAGGCCGAGGCGTCCTTGCCGGCAGAAGCACTTGAAAGGCACGTCGATGCCGCAAATGTCAGTTTTGCGGATGCGCCGCTTTCTGTTGAAGTCGGCGAAGTTGACTCCGTGAATCCAATCGTTGGGAGTCCGCGGCGGAGGTTTTTCCGGTGAGTCTCCTCACTCGGGGTTAGTCGAGCGAATCCGCCGAGTCCGCCGACTTGAGTCGCTCGTCTTAATTATCCGAGCGTGCTCTATTGGACTCGTTTCTTGAGTCAGCGAAGCGACGGCGTTTCCGGTCGATCCGCAAACTCGAGTCCCTCAAGCGAATCTGCCGAGTCTGCTCCACTCGAGTTAGTGAATCAAATCCTTTGACTCCGCTCTGTGAACTGAATCATCGGAGTCAGTAATGTTCCTACGAAGCGAATCGACTTGATCCGCCGACTCGAGTCGGGTAACAAAATCATCCGAATGCGCTCGGTTTTCAAGTTAATCGAATCGTTTGAGTCTGTAGACTCTTTTTCTGCTGAGTACACAAACGGGACTGAGAGGATCAACTTGTCCGCAGTGACTGGACGGAATATCTGCAAAGGCAAACTTGAGTCGGTCAACAAATCATCTTGTCAGCAAATTCAATCCTCTGAGTCAGTGTTTGTTTTCCCGCTAAATCAATTCATGCGACTCAGTCAATCAAAACGGTTGCGAATCTGCAATTTTGAGCCAGGGAATCAAATCGCAGTTTTTTTTCTCCACCGAGTCAATCAAAACGTTTGCGAATCTGCAATTTTGAGCCAGGGAATCAAATCGCAGTTTTTTTTCTCCACCGAGTCAATCAAAACGTTTGCGAATCTGCAATTTTGAGCCAGGGAATCAAATCGCGTTTTTTTTTTCTCCACCGAGAGTCCACTGACGTTCGTCGGTGAATCGAATCGTCTGACTCAGTGGTGTTTGAATCCATTGATTCAAGCCAGTGAGTCAAATGATTACGAGTCCAACCAAACTGTTCGAATCGACGACGGTTCCAGCTCGTTCCTAAACTTTAGCACGTGAATCGAATGATCTGAGCCAGACTTCGCTACTCACTGAATCGACTCTTCAGGTCTGCGCTGCAAATTTAATCCTCTGGGTCATTGTTTTTTTATTTTTTATTTTTTTTTCCGGTCTAGCCATTAACGCGAGTCACTGAATCAAAACGTCTACAGATCTGCAAATTCGAGTCGGGGAATCGAATCTTAGAATCATCTTCCGTCCGCAAATGTTTTTGGCCAGCGAATCACGTGAGCCAAACTCGGCCTCACGGAACTGAATCATCTGCGTGTCTGCGGCATCTTCCGGTCAGGATTTCGGTGTGCGACGAGGACAAATTCCGCCACAACGAGTTCATCGGCGAGACGCGGATCCCCCTCAAGAAGCTGAAGCCCAACCAGAGCAAGAACTTCAACAACTGCCTGGAAAAGCAACTACCTGTAAGTGGCTCAGTCTGCCGTGTCATTGTTCTTGTTTAAAAATAAATGTCCGCCCCTTTCGGGGGTCCTTTTTATAGCTTTTCTAAATATAAACGGATCAAAGTAGCGACCGCGAACCCGAACAAAAAGAGGCTGTCTGCTGTACTTTTCAATAAGCGACGCTGTTTTTTTTTTTTTTTTCAACACGGAGCAGAGACCTCCCTCATCAAGGCCGATTCAAACAAAATGATTTATTTTTTTTTGTTTGTTTTTTCATTTAACAGATTCCACCTGAGCCCCCGTTACTGTTTGTCGAGTTCCACGCAAGGCCTGTGACACGCCGTGATTATTTCAAAAGCTTTAAACAAACCAAACTCCGTATCATGCGACTGCCTCTCTTTGCATTTGGAACTCATTCTTGTTTTTAGTTCAAGCCAAAGTTTTTGTGTCGGCATAGGAAGCATTTTTTTTTTTTCCCTCCCTTTGGGTCATTGATAAAATGAAAACGATCGGCGAGTCACATCACGTTTTGAAATTCTCTTTGGATTGAATTCTTTCAACTTTTCGGAGACACTTTGGTGCCGCAAACATTTGGGACAGTTTTCCACTTCGAGCGTGAAAATGAACGAGCCATTTGTTTGTCCATCCATGTTTTGAATCGCTTTTCCGCACTCCTGCGTCGTTACTCCATAGTGAGACGACGGATGATTTATGTGCGTTCTTGACATTGCTTTCCTTCCTCATTTTGAGCAAAAAAAAAAAAAAAAAAAGGAGAAAGCCGTGTTTTGTATTGCTCGGAAATGTCATTTGTGAGAGGGACAGACAGGCCTGCACATCATCGTCCTATTTCCCGCCATAATATCTTTTTGGGGAAAAAAAAAAAAAAGCACAGCCTCAGGGCACTGGCTAATACCTGGAACCGAGTCAATATGCTCGGAACACGGCCGGCGATGCTGACATTCTCATTCACTTCAATGAGCAGATCCCTCCGCCGATGCTCATTGACTTTTTCCTCCAGGCGAGGCCGCGACGACCCGGAAAACGTTTTGGTACACACGTCTCTTCTGAGTAGACCCACAAAAAAAAAAAAAAAAAGAATCAAAGCAATTCTGCCATTTTGGCTTGAAGCTGACATTTTAATTGATATTTTATTGATTGGGTTACGGGTCCCTCGAGATTTTGTCCGATAGCTACCAAATCGTGGCCAAACATCTCGCGCGCTCGTTTGTTGAGGGCCCCGATTGATGCTCGGTGGAAGTGAAGGGCCGCTCCGCTCAGATGCCTCGACTGCCCCCCCCCCCCATCCTGGCTTCGTCATATTCCCCACACGGCCGCAAGGGCGTGCGTGCATCCGTCCGTCCGTCTGTCCGAGCGACCATCTGACACCGTGACGGCAACGTGAATGAGCAACGGCAGAACAGGCAGGCGGACGCCCGTTGGCATGCCGACGTGATGTCTGATTAGTTTCCCGCTGTGAACGCAGGCGGCGCGGCTCCCACGCAAAGTCACGCCGACGAGTGAGATGGAGGGCTATGGGGAGATTGTTTTTTTTTGTTTTTTTGCCATGCTGAAAATGTTCTATATTGCGGGCCGAGGTTGATTTTTTCCCACGTCAGCCGAAAGTCAACTTTCTGGACCACATTGCTTAGACAATCTGCTGACTTGGAGACGCCGCTTTCATTCGTCATATCGACGCGTTTTGTCATTTTTGTGCGCTCGAATAACCGCAATCTGGAATACAGACTTCCAACGGTGCCAAACAGGCTCCGCCAAGAGGTCCATTGTGTTCTTAGTGGTGCGGTCTTAAATTCAGTGGTATTGTATATGATCTTCTTTTTGGAGGTTGGGTGGGGATTGTCAACATTTTTAGAACAAAGTCTTATCTGGGGAAAAAAAATAATGAGAATACTGGAGGGCTTATGATTTATGAAAAATTGTCAATATGTCTAAAAATGTAGTTTCCAGAATTAAAAATACTTTAAAAATAATTTTTTTTCTCCAATTTAAAAAAAAAATTTTTTTTTAGAAAAAGTAATTGACCAGAAAAAATGAATCTAATTTTCGAGAAAGAAAAATCCCATTTTTATTTTTAATTAAAAGCGGGGGTTGTGAAGCAGGGTGACACTTAATCTTTTTTTTTTTTTCTCAAATCTTTTTCCACAGTCAACGACAAAATTCAAATGAGCGCTCCCTCCAGTGACTTTAAGTCGCCGGCTTTGTGCTTGTTCCAAATAATTTGCAAACAGATGAAACATGCCGCTCCAAACGAATTAGCGGTCATTCATTGGAAATGGCTCAAACTCAAGGGAAAAAAAAGCCCGCGTTCGCACTTTCAAATAAGATAAGCTTGATGTGTATGGTGGGGGGGGGCGGGTTCAATGGCTATGTCTGCATTTCGCATTGCTGATACAGCAAAAAAAAATAAAATAAATAAATAAATGTTGCCACATTTGATTGAAAAATGTGGTGCGGAGGGACGGCATATTCACACAATCGCCGACTGCGGGGTCACTTGCTGGGAAATTGCATTGTGGGCTTCTGCAGGCTGCAAAAAAAAAAAAAGTCTTCCTGTGGAGTGAGCAGAGAGAGCGTCAAGAGCTGTTTGCGTGCGCGCATGTCGGAATTCTAGTGGCACGATAAGAGTGGACCGAGTAGGGAGCGAATGCACGGGACGCCTCCCTCCAAACGCAACCGTCAGTCGCATTACTTTTGGATTTCACACTTGAGGAATACAAATGCTAATGTCAAGACAAACGTGGGAAAAATAAGAACGCGGACGTCAAGCAAATCCCCCCCGCCCGCTCCCCACCACCACCGACGGGAACGAGTTCCCTGGTTTGGCGGTTGGCCTGGCTGCTTTCATCGATTTCTTTGTCATGTTTGCAGGTGAACAAGACGGAGGAAAAGTCGCTGGAGGAGCGAGGGCGCATCATGATCTCCCTGAAATACAACACCCTCAAGTCGTGCCTGGTGGTGGGCATCATACGCTGCGCCCACCTCGCCGCCATGGATGCAAACGGATTCTCCGACCCCTACGTGAAAACGTACGTACGCACCACGTCGTGAATGGGCAAAATGAGCCCCCCAACAAAAGGCCATTTAGAACCGGAACGGTCGGTCTGTGTGTTTTGGGCCATGGCCTGTTTCCACTTTTTTTGTGGGTCTAGTCATGATGGCCATGTCGACCAAATTTCATGGCGCCGAGACAAACTGGCCTCAAGGGCTGGATTTTCATCAAATGTCACCGATGCTCCGCCCACACGCGATGCCAAAAACTCTCCAATTTCAGAATTTTGCGAGGGCTCCTCGAGACTTTTTTGTGGGTCTACTGATGATCGACATTTGGACTACATTTCATGTTGCTGCGCTCAATTGACTTTGGGGGCTGAATTTTCCAAATTGTTGAACTGTTGGTCGTGTCGTGAGACTGGACGCTGTCGACCAAAATGTCGCCTTCTCCCATAACCTGGGGGGCGGGGCTTATGGTCGAAGCGCGTTGAGCCAGTGACTCGGCGTGCACGCCCGGCGTTCCTTGCAACAAATGGCTCCCTTCGGCGTGCCTACCGGTCCTAATGCGTCGTTATCGCCTCGCTTTTGACACTTGCGCCGAAAAGGACGGCCCGCTCGCCCGTGATTACATCGAGTGGCATCAAAGCTCCAATTTCAAGGAGAGCTCTTTTTGTTTTGCTCTCTTTTCTCCCGGCGCCCGAGCGCTTCCTCACGCTTTGATCCGGCCAGCCAATTAATTTCCAACGGCGCGGCGGGCGCCTCCGCAACAAAAGCATCGGGAGAGGCAACCGTCATTGTCCGACAGATTTGGGGTGCGTGAAGGACAACCTGACGATTGGCGGGATGGGAGAACACACATATCTCCATCTATGACGACGTGTGCGTAATAAATAAAATTGGCTTTGGTTCCGCTCCAAATGATGAGATGGGACCAGCGTGCGTTTGGTTGTCTTTTGCCAAGCGCCGGCTGGGGCCGGCCCCTCGGCTCCTCGGGGTCGCTCATTATTGGCTTTTGATGCCAAAGCAATGACGTCCGCCGCCGCGTTACCTTGGGAAATGCAAACGGGAACGGTAATGGACGTGTGTCTGTGAAAGTGGCAAAAAGACGAAAGAGTGGCGGCGCGGCGCACATGACAAGGCTGCTGCGAGGGTCGCGTGCCAATCCCGCGCACGGTTGCGTCATCGTTGCACAAGGGGAAAAAAAAAACGCAGGAATATTTTTATGGCTGCAATCTCAACGGCGACTCGGACTTTTTCTTTCAAATATGTGTTGCAATCGTTCATCGTCACTTTCTCGTCCAATCCGCCATCTTGTCCTTGTCAAATGAGGACTTTTTCATCTACTGCACAAATTCCTTTTTTTTTTTTTTTTTTTTTTTTTTTTTGCTGGTAACATGACATCCTTCTTCGACAATGATTGACCTTTTTCCTCTTAAAATTGAGAAGCTATTCCTTTTGATTGGGACCCCCCCCCCCCCAAAAAAAAAATCCATTGAAAACTCCCATCTTTATCCTCACATTAAAGATTTGGTACGTTTGTAAGATTACAACTCTTGGTTGCAATATATTATTTCATTCCTCTTGTAAAATGTTCTTATCATTGAATTATGAGCCGCTGCTCCCCCTGGTGACGCAACGCGGTAATTGACGTGTTGCTGTTGGGCTCGTCGCAGGTACCTGAAGCCCGACGAGAACAAAAAGTCAAAGCACAAGACGGCCGTCAAGAAGAAGACGCTTAATCCCGAGTTCAACGAGGTATCTACCCCCCCCCCCACACACACACACACACACACACACCTTCCAAAGCACCCACATGAGTCTGAGGCCTTTTGGACGCTGTTGCTAACCAAAACAGCAACGTGCGTACCAAAGCCGGTCAAGAGTGGGTGAGACGAGATGTTTCATTTTTTCATTTTGTTCCGAAAAATGCGTTCAGGCTCCCCTTTTACATTTCACGCTTACGTTTGGCTTTTAAACACCCCCCCCCCCCCGGCCCCCGATCTCCATTTAATTTGAAATATTCCACTACATATCTCCGACGTTTGCAGTTCAATTTAGTTTTAAATCCCAGTCACTCTCGTCTTTGTTCGGAATCTTATATACTTGAGGTAATGCAAATTTCCCCAGTGTGGAACAAATAAAAGGTTATCTTATCTTATCTTATCTTAATAGCATAATCATAGTAATCCAGAAAAAAATAATGAATTACATTTTTCTTTTTATTCCTAAAGATAGATTGGACCAATCAAGCCCCTTCTTTGAAACGCCACTTCGTCTCAACATGACTATAATATGTCACCACGATTGTGGAATCTGACTTGCAGACGAGATTTGCATCAATAAAGGACAAGTCCTCTCCCCAGCAGCGTAGTCTGGTTGAAAACTCGTTTCGCTCGACATCCGATTCTTGCTCATAAAAGCATTTGGAATAACGAAGGCCTCCCCACCAATTCTCGATATTGATTGCGATTTGGTCGGAGATTCTGGCTTCACCCGCCATCAATTGTCCGTTCACGCCAACATTGTTTCACGATAGTTGTGATTTTCCAAAAACAACACGGGTACGGTGGGTAGGCCAGGTAGGACACACACACACACACACACGCATGCACGCACCTTCGTCCCCAGAACCCCCCCCCCTCGGCCAAACCCACTCAAAGGCCAGCGGCTTGACATTTGCTTTGACATTTTTCCCCACTCGTATTCCGCCGTCACCTGTTGGCCTTTCCTTCCGAGGCAAACATCCTGGTCGGCTTTGATATTAAGGCAATGTAGCAAGTTTGACTTTTACAACTCATAAACTTAGCAGGGCCTCATTTTGGAACTGGCAAAAGTTCAAAGACAGGCCTAGCCTAGCAAACCTTCAAGTTAGTGTACCTTGGAACGCTATATTGGGTCCGACGGCGGCGGCGGATCCGCCCATTCCTGCCTTTTACAACTCCTAAACATACCGGGGACGATTTTGGGTACCCGTCCGGCCCTGATCTGAAAGCGCTTAATCCTCGCGAGGGTCGCGGGCGTGCCGGAGCCCATCCCGGCCGGCCGACTTGGGGCAGTTGGCGGGGGTACACCCTCGACCAATCGAAGCCCCAAAGGGTCCGTGAGTGGAACCCGCACTTTTGGAGTAGCGGCCTTCGTCTGTGGGACGGTACCCTCAACGGTTCTCCTCAGCGACCTACCCCAAAAGCCAGGGGGGCGGCACCCTCGAGTCTTTACAATTTACAAACATGAAGTCACAACGTCGGAGGAGATTCTGTCCGTGAGTCCGAGCGTGCGTGCTCTCGATCGGGTCGCTAGGCGCTGACTCGCCGGCAAACTGCCTCTGCGCAGGAGTTCTGTTACGACATCAAGTACGCCGATCTCACCAAGAAGACCCTGGAGGTGACCGTGTGGGACTACGACATCGGAAAGTCCAACGATTTCATCGGTAAGTTTGCTCGCCCGTGGATGCAAAGATCGGACTGACTCAGCCTCGCGCCCGCCTCCAGGCGGCGTCTCTCTCGGCATCAACGCCAACGGGGAGCGGCTCAAGCACTGGTTCGACTGCCTCAAGAACAAGGACAAGAAAATCGAGCGCTGGCACACCCTGACCAACGAATTACCCGGCTCGCTGAACGACTGAATGTCGTCCTCGTCCGGCCGTCGGACCCGTCGGACCGGATCCCACCATCCCGCTCGACGCCTGCATCCCATTTCCACCTTCTTCCCTGCTCCCTCTCGTCGCATCGAGTACCGGGTAACTTTCAAAAGTAAGCGTCCGCCGGGACGAAAACGTCTTTTGGGTGCCCGTGCAAAAGTGACTCAAGGGTTTTTTTGATAAAGCTCCGATAACAAGGGCCCTTTTTCGCGCTGCCTGTCAAAACTGTCTGTATAAATCCCACCGACACGGAATGAGGGGTGTCTAGTCGTAGGCATTGTTGTTCATCCACGACGACGACGACAAGTGATCGGGGGACAAAGTCGCCGGGTCAATTTTCTGCCGCCCCCACCCTGTTTTGCATCGAAAGCAGTTGTCGACGCTCAGCACTCTGTTTCCTTCCAATCGGTAGCAACGCGAAGCCGAGCTGGCCATTTTACGGCTTTGGGGGTAGTCTCCAAAGCCGTAACCGAAGAGGCTGGGGCTGTAAAATTGAAACATTTCTGACCCTTTCTTCCGTCTCGCTGTTCTACATCAACGACGCCAATGCAGAATGCGCGGGACTAAGTTGACCTCGCAATTTTACGGCTTTCGTAGTGCTACCACAGCAGTGGCATCTGTGGTTTGAACACGCGGCCGCCCAGTTATCTTCAAATAGCACTTTGGGCACGACGAAGGAAAACATGGCCGCCCCTTGAAGTTTGACGTCTCACTGTTGGACGACGCTAACAAAAAGCGCGTCTTGTTTACAGGCTCTTCTTGCCGTTGTTTGAGCAGGGAAGGGCGCCAGAAGACAAATTGAGATGTAAGCTCTTTGGAAAGCCTTGTAGCTTTTTGGTTTCCATGTCGCCCGCGAATTTAAAGGGAACATTTCATGCTCCACCTCAACAGTTCGGACATGGAATGAATGGGTGGGGAGGCCAAGTTAACCGGGCGCTCCCGTCAGCGGCTTGTCAAAGCCAGCATTGATTTGTCTTTTGCCGCTGTCCCCCCGTTTCATATTTTCATACAGCATATGGAGAGGATGGATGAAGCAAAACTGGCCATTTTCGGCCATAAGGGGGCAGTATCGGAGCCGGAATGTTCCCTTTCACAGTGCCTGTCAAACCCGTCATTTGGAATTCTTTCAAATCAAACCACCACAGACATGGACTGGGGGTGGAGGAAGTTGACCTGGTCAGATTTTAATGGGAACAGAGCCCAAGACGATGTAGGGCAACGCATATGCACGAAACACTTCCCGGAAAGGCGTCTTGTTTTTTGGGTTTCCCCCCCCAGCAATTTTCCGTCGTCGGTCAACGGCAGGTCGTCTGTTACGGCTGTGATTTCGCGATTTTCCCGGAATGTATTAGCCACACCCAGCGGTGTGAGAATGTGCACCTCAGTGCTCGGTTGATGTCGGCATTTCAAGGCCCCCTCACCCTCTTCCTGCCTTCCTCCGGTTCGTTGGATTTGATTTGATTGTTTTTCCACACATGAGACGCGCAAGCAACAGTAACAGTCGGGAGACTTACTGTGAGTAAAAACAAAACATATATATATATATATATATATATATATATATATATATATATGTTTAATTATTTTCTGTTATTTTAATTTTTTTATTTTTATTTTATATTTTATTCCTTTAAGTTTTATTTTATATTTTAATTTGTTGTTTTTTTGTGTGTTTTAATTGCATGTTGTTATTTAATACAATTCAAATGTCTCTTCATTGAACTATATTTTATTGTATTGATTTTCCCCCAGTTAAATTTTCAAGTTTCTCAGTTTTAATTGTATTTGATCGTCGCTGTATTTCGTCCATCCATCCATTATCTGATCGGCTTCTCCTCAGGAGGGTGGCAGGCGCGCTGGAGCCCACCCCAGCCGTCTTTGGGCATCCTGAAACGGTTGCCAGCCAATCGCAGGGCACACACAACAACCAGTCACACTCACAATTGTATGCAGTGAATTTATATTTGTTTTATTTCAAGAAATTGCATTTTATTTTTACTTTTAATGTATTGACTTGATTTGAATGCCTGTTTGACTCCCCTGTTATTCAACCTTTACGAAGCCTCCTTTTTGTCGGCAAAGTGTTGAATATGGTTATGATTATAATGATTTGTGCTTCCCTCACGTTCTATTGATCTTGATCATCACCATCTCGTTCGCCCGACCGACTCGAAGTGACGATGTGATTTTTGTCAGCCGTCAGCCTTTGTATGCAAGCTCGATATTCCGAAGAAGAAAACGACAACAACAACAAAACATGCATGCGCCCGGTCCTTGTTTTGTCATGAGATGACCTCATGTTTGATACTGTTTTCTGTATTAGGGGAAAAAAAAAAAAAAGTTCAAAACTGAATGCTCCAATGATGATCAATGCTTTCTTCTGGACTCCATTTTGTACTTCTCTGGCTGCCATGTGTGACTTTGGTGTGACTTTTGTTGGTTTGTCGAATGTTTGTATGAGTTATGATGTCAATGCACTATGTCAAATTATATTTTGGTCACACAAAAAAAAAAAAAAAATTAAAGTGGACCTTTTCCGTTTGCACCAAGGACCGAACAGTATTTATGTCTGAGATTTGGCACCCTCTAGCGGTGGAGTTCCAAACCGTAACCAAATGCATGTACAGTGGTAGAAAGCCGGTGTTGAAATGGCCACCAATCGACCCTGTGGAGAAGTGGCGTTTTCTGCCATTTCTGGGTCTGCAATCAGCTTTGGAGGGAGGGCCTATGCTAATGCAAGGTTTTGCGACCGAAAATTGAGGGAAAACATGCAACAAAAACAGCCAACAATCAGCCACTGAGAATTGTTTTGGGTTTTTTTTTGTTGTTTTTTACTTTCCATTTCTGCATCTGACCAGGGCAATCTTGATTTTGTAACAGGTGACAAAACGGCCAACAATCAAACTTGGAAGTTGGAGCCTTGATATGGTCGTGGAAGCTTTTACGTTTTCACAGCTGAATCTTGTTTGGTGTTTTGCAAGAGGAGATAAGAAGGGCAACAGTCGCCCCTGTGGTAAAGTTCTGTTTTTTTTTTTGGGTTTTTTTTGCTGGCTCCACACTGTGATTTTACGCTGGTCGATTGTTGGCCTTTTTGTTTTCTGCTGTGGCCCCTTTTAGGTCCCAGAGTGCCAAGAAACTTTGCACAAGCACACTAGCGACCCCAGGCGGACCAAGATATGAGAAAATGCACAACAACAACAACAACACTACTTCCCATCAACCCCCTTAGTTGGCTGAAGCCCCGCCCGAGTCCGTTTGAATGGCAGATTGTTTCGCTGAGAGCAGCTGCTGACTATTCCAGTCGGAGAGCAAACACGAGCGGCAGGCAGGGAGCTGCCGCCTCTGCCGCTCCATTCAGGACCTGTGACAAGCTACCGGAAGCAGGTAGAAAGCAGCTTCCGTTTTGACTGTCCTGCCTTCAAAATGAGATGAATTTGAGATTTTTTTTTTTTTTTTTTTTTTTTTGCCAATGCGATGATTCATATGAAGCCGTCTACTAGTATTTAAGAATTAGTACAACAATGTTTCATTATAAACATGAAATTCAGGATGATTATAATTCATTTTTTAAATGAACTTCGGGTTTTTATTGAGTATTTTAAATGTTTAGTTTAAAATTGTAAAAGTCATATTAAATATGGTTATATCTCTCGATGTATACAGTATACTTAAATAGATAGATGGATTAGATAGATACTGTATCTACACACATAATTAAGATTTCCTTATTATTCAACTAAATATATTGATCTAAATATATGCTGGCAGTAAAATATAGTTACAAAATTAAAAATAAATGATATGAACTTAAGTATTATCCATTTTTAATTAAACAAAATGATATCAGTAAATATATAACTTCAGAAATTAATAAATAGTATATTAAGTTGGATTTAATTTTTTTCTCTGTTGAATACAATTATCTATACATTTGTACAATGTATGCAGACCAGTTTACAGTTCATTTAAAATATTGTGACTATATATATATATATATATATATATATATATATATATATATATATATATATATATATATATTTTTTTTTTAATCTATATATATGTAATTTTAATGTTGAAAACAAAGTCTTGATAGTAGTGCAATTATCATTTTCTATACATATTTAGCTACTTTTAGTTTATTAAAAAGATTATTCGAAACATATTAAATAAACATATCATTCAATAGTAGCGTTATAAAGAAAATATTAAGATAGGTGAACTTTTTTTTTAACGTGACAGCCGTCTTGTTTTATTTTGTAAACCGGACAACCGGAATTGCGAGCGTTTCCGTCTCCATCTTGAAGGAGGTCAGTTTTTTTTTTTACCACTTGCTTTCTTCCCCCTCTGCTTCTCTTTCTCTCTGTCTATCTCTCTCCCTCTCCTTCTCCTCATTCTCCTTTTAAGACCACTTTAGGATGGAGCACCTATGTATTTATTTATAACCTTGGTATGTACAAGTACGTAGCTTTCTAGTTATTTTTTTAGTTTGTTTTTCTGTAGCCGCCCCCTTTCCAATGAGAAGACGTAGAAGATGGAGCTTCACATTCTAGAGCACAGCTTGAAAGTGGCGAGTATAGAGAAGGAAGGTATCCAAATTTGCACTCACGGATTAATCAAACTCGCCTTCCTGGCCTCCAAAACCAGGTACGTCCATTCCTCTCCTTCACGCCGCCAAACCTGCACGTTAGCGTTGGACTTTAAAGGCAGCTAGCTTCAAATGACCGTCGTTTTTTCGATGTGTGCTGCTAATTTCCCGAGGCGCAACGAACGCACCGTAATGCTGTTTAAATGTGTTTTTGTGCGTGTGTGTGTGTATATATATGTGTTTGATCGATCCAGCCCCGCTTTTCTTGGGCCTTTGTGAGATTTCTGCCACCCATAGCTGGGTTGACGCCAATCCGGCGTGCGTATCGACGTATATGACTGTCTTTTACTGGGCCCGTTCGCGTCCAAACTCCGTTATTAAAGCGTCAAAAGTGGCATTATTGCTAGTGCGTTGCGTTCAGGGGCCGGCGTTGGAGCTCGGTAACGAGAATATCGTCGTGCGAGGAGAGGCCTTTGCACTTGTTTTCGTCGCCGGTCTGTGATTAATGTGAGCCTTAAGCAGGTTAAGTTCCCCTAAACGCACCGCGTGAGCTCGTCAAAGCCTTTCCCAAGCACGCATCTCCTTTCAAATGATTCATTCTTGACACATTTCTATTTTTCCTATAGGAACGAATGCGAAGTCGAAATGGTCTCCTCTTCACATGTTGGAACAGTTGCCTTTCACCAAATTTTCATTCATCGTACAGGCGATTTTATAGTTGGGGAAAAGTATTCACACTTTGTACTTAAGTACTCTTGCGCTGCCAGAAGTACTGACACAACTCTTTTAATGAAGTAAAAAAAAAAATCTAAAATAAAAATAGACTATGAAATACAAGTACAGAAGTTCAAACTCGTTAGCCTAAGTGCATATTGCCTGAGTCACGTTTGAATATTTTGGGAAAACAAGCAAAAACACAATTTTATGTACATTGCTGGTTTTCTTTGATTTGTAAATGTAAGTTAAATACAAATTGGATAATTGTGATGTCAGGCAAACAAATGTTTTTTTTTTCTGTTTAATTGCGATCTCGTGTCATCTTACCTTAAAAGTAAAAAGAAACATATCCCATGTTTTAGACCGCGCTAGCTTGACAGTAAGTGAAAAAAAAAAATTTGTAACAAGCATCAGATTTTAACACGATTATGTTTTGGTGAAACATAACTTTTTTCGAAATTCATTTAAACTTTATTCTTCTCATAATTAAACTTCAAAGTACATTTATTTTAATTAACCTCGTAGATTTCCAAACACGGATATTCTCTGAATATTTAGACTTTTTGAATTGTGATACAATTGTTTTTTTTTTCAAATGACGATCCTCTTTCTTGAAAGATTACAACTTTTTATCCTCAAGAAAAAAAAATAATTCAGTTAAAATTTAAATTACTTGAAGAAAAAAAATCTCACACACTTTTTTTTTGAAGGACAGTTCTTGTAAGATTGTGACTTAAAAAAAAATGCTTCTTTTGTTATATTTAAACTTGGAAAAAAGTTTTTTGTTTTTTTTTAAGGATTTAATTCTCTCGCTGAATTGACATCTAGCTACCCTTTTGTTAGCCGTATCTGTTAGCATACTTTTGTCTTTGTTTGCTTGTCAGGTCTTTAATGCTGTAAAACTGCAGCAAAATGCTAAATAGTTCATTTTTCGAAAACAACCATTGTTCTGCCTGTGTGGGCGTCATCCTAAAATACCCCCCCACCCCCACCCCCAGGCCTTCTGGCCTCCCTCCGTCCACAAATATTTGATGTAATTAATGTTCCCGGGTCACTCCGAGTTCAGCGGCAACAACAACAACAACAAGACTCTGTCAATGAGTCCTTGTGAAGTTCCTTACATGACCTGGGAATTCGACTAATGCTGAAGTTCAATTAGCTCGTTAGCGGGAATCGAACGCCGTCATTAAAGCGGGCTTCGGAAGGACAAAAACAATTTGAGATGTCTTCAACCCGCATTTCGATGCGAGAAAATCCCGTGTTCTTGCCCCCCTTGAACACTCGGAAGACAAACGTGACCTGAAATCGCCTGCCGGCCTTTTTGCCGTTTCTGCGGCAGGCGTTTTGGGG